TGACAAGAAACTGGTTATAGCAGAGGTACAATTTGTATTTTATAAGAAATTTAAGCAAACAGTATACAATGTACAAAAAACTTAAACTCATCTATTTATTTATTTTAAGCAAATTTGCACATCCAGCTGAGATGAAGCTGCTCGAATTGTCCAAAGAACATGCCTGTGCACGCGCATGTCCTCAACACCCCCCAAGTTCCTAACCCAGTGCAGATGCACGGTATTGCATGCAAAATATGTGTAATCATTCACAAAAATTAATCTCTGGCTATCAGAAAAAGGCAAGAGTTTCTTTCCCCCAAGCAGATACCATATTGGTACTATATAAAATTCTTATCCGGTGAACTTCTTGACAAAGAATTAGCCATAACAACATATGGTTTTTAACCGCTGTACACCCAAGACTTAGTATTTCATATTCAGCAGCCACTCTGCCTTCTGAATTTGCCTTAATCACAACCTGTTTTCACCTTGCCTTTGCATTATAGCACCTATGAAATTGGACCAAATGTTCCCCCAAACTGAAACAATCTTACGAGAGCTTTCGTTCATTTCATATCATTGCTTCCAATAAAGGATGCATCAACTTTAATCTAAGTCTTGCTTGCAGGCAACTGTTCCTACCATGACACTCTTAAATTTCTGAAGTCATCTTTTTGGCATGTTATCCAGAACGAAATATAACAGTACAAATAGCCCATTAGAGCAAATATAAAAAGAATTTGTAGGTCAAAATGAAAAATATATGATATAGTAACAAAATGCCAAGACGATTATTATTAAGTGCAGAACAATATTATCAACAAAAGCATAATATAAGCAAAAATATATTATTTAGACAGAATCTCAAAAAGATCATATCAGATTATCATCAATAATCAAAAAATTAAAATTTTACAAGAACTCTTGGAAGAAAAACCATGCATACCATATTTCTCAATACTGTCAAAAAGCTTCAGCATGTCATTCTTTAATGTACCAACCTGTAAATGGCACGACAGTAAAAGAATTATTCGGCATGATGTAAAATCCGACACACATTAAAATCCGACACACACATTAGAGACATTTTTAAAATGGGAAGAAAGTGATGATCTTCGGCTTGAAGGGATCCTCACCATTAACAATTTGAAAAGAGACTAAGCACTTTCATGCAGTTGGTTAGCTATTAGACATTTGACATTGTTTCCCTTTAAGTCTAAATGCTGAGACATCTAGGCACCTTTTCACTGAGAGCCGGTAGCGAAAGAGTGTTAGGAAAGTAACTGTAGCTGTGATAGGAGTGAGGACAGTGGTAACAAAACTCTGTGCTTGAAGCCATATAGTTGATCAAAGGAGAAGAATATAGTTGCCAAAGTGACTCCTTTAACTATATTTGTGGTATCTTGGAGAGAAAAAATCAAAAGGTTTTATAAGGGATTGTCATCCCTTTACATTATATTAGGTAGAACTGGCTTCAGGTCCTCATTCCACAGACAAACAGCCAGGCTCTAACAATTAGGTGAGAATAGCCAGACTTTTTAGACTTTTTGTTAGAGTAGAGTATGATATACTTCCGAACATGGTTGATACTCCCTTGATACCATGGGGAAACACTCTTTTTCCACAACCAAAAATATATATATTTCGTCTTAAGGGATTGGACCATTTGAATGGTGAATAGAACTACCATGAACATATTGAGGAATCATTTTCTCTACAGCACACAGGCATGACAGCGAAAAAAAAAAACAACTGCTTATCCTAAGTCCAACATTTCAGTATATCCCGAAACACTGAAAAGGAAACTAGATATCCAAAACTATGCATTCACTCTACAGCAATATCTGAAAATTCAAATATGGGAACCTCAAGTAACATTTCTTTCACGAAAAAAAAAAAAAAGACGAGAAAGAGGCTAAAATTTTAAACACGTTGTTAATTGATCATAAGAATTTCCTTAGGTTGTTAGAACTAATTCTTTTGGATAAAATGATACACATCTAATGTAAGAGCTTGGCTAGCTAAACCCGTCACTCATCAAATTAACGCTTGAAGAAGAAAACTTATATTGCAAAAGGCACACAAGAACAAGATAAAGAAAGAATAAATAAATACATAAATAAGATTCCAAAGTAAAAATCAAGAGAAGCAGAAAAAGAAGAGCTAAATTAAATCCCCAGTTAGAAAGATATTAAACGGCTATTTCACCTGAGA